TCATCCACCAGTTTGCTGTGGGTGCCACTCTGTCCCATCTAGCTCACCAGTTAGTTTGAATGTTCTTTATCAGATGAGCCCTTTGTAACAGATGCAATCCTCAAACCTGTTTTCTGGTTCAATATGGGAAGCACAACTAAGAATACTGACAGGATTTTACATTGAAACTACAACAGTGTGCAGCTGAATTATTTCGTCACTTCATTTTATTCCATACCTTTGACAGTAGTCAGAAAGGAATGAGCTCCACAATGACGCAGGAGAAAATTCTACCAGACTATGTGAAAACCTGTAAAAAATGTGGGTAAGAATTATTTCAGAAAAAAAAAAAAAAAGAATTTAGATGACTACACCGTTTGAATTTGTATGGTGTAAACAAAGCAGACAGCAATACCAATTAAGGAAAAAATTACAAAATTCCTGAGATGCTTGATCTCCTAGTTAAGCCATAGCTCTTGCCCTTTTTGCTTGCAGTCATGGGGTGTGTAAACACAGTACAGTTCAGTACAAATTACCAGACCAACCTCCAAAATATCTGCTTTGCCTTGACACCCCACCAAAACAGTGTCACTTGTGGACCATGGAGCAGGATACTTGGATTCTTATGGCTGCATCCCATCCTGGCTGCTTAAAGGAGAATTTGAACAGTGAGACCTCTTCACTCACTCAGATGCTTCCAGGACCTGACACTGTATTACTAACCTGTGCCACAGAGATAAGATAGTTCAGAGTTAGTACCTGTGTCTTCTTTCCTGTAGGTTCTTGGTTTGACTTGATCTGTAATATATTCTCTTAATTCCTATTGCTTCTCTAGCCATTTTTAGAAAAGCAAATATTACAGAACGCTTAATGTATGTAAATGCATAAGACAAAAATAGAAATAGGGAAAATGAAGTCAGCAAATTCATGCAAATAAGGCAAATAATGTTAGAAAATTAAAACATGCAAGTGCAGGTAAGTACCTGAAAATGAAAAAGTGCCTAGGGCAGCTTGCAGGGTGTCCTCATCATAAGATATCAAATTATTTTTCTTATCCTTCGGTGCTTATATTTAGATTGAGAAATAGTCCATTAGAATTTCCACAAAGTGAAAGATAGAACATTTTTACCTATATGTACGTATCTACATCCATAAGTATATACTAATTCCTTACCGAGTAGTATGAATGTTTCTGGGCTTTTCATTTTTGTATGTGGTGAGGGAGATTAACAAATATTCATAGAAAACATCAAGATTGATTATTGAAAGGTATATTAACTTTGTGGCTCTGCATTATATCTCCAGTGAGAAAAAAAAACCACATTATTTTCCTGATGGTTCCATATTTATCAGGATTCACAACTTCACAACCATTTTCTTTCAGCTTTCTTCACTGGAGGTCTTCTAGTGCTCTGCATTTTATGGGAAATAATTTGACTCTCCAGAAAGTCCCTGTCCTAATTTGTAGCTAAATTCTATCTTAGTCTGCTTTAACAGCAGGCTGACCAGCCAGCTCTCTTTTTTGTATTTTCGCCTCTTTTAACATTCAGTCCATGAAACTGCTGCATTCTCAGATCTGACCCCAGGGACTCCAGTTACAATATCCTCACGTCCTTGGCAACATCTCTCTGCACCTCCTTGAATATTCTTACCATTAAAAATGATACCTCATATCCCTACCTACCAGGTACATAAAAATCAACAGTATTTAGCTTCCAATTTAAGATGTTCCAATTTAAATAATTAAATCATCTTTTCCCAAGGAATGGCAACATCACAGTTTTTCCCTGTGCCTAGGACTCGAGTTAGCAGCTGGCATGCTGGAGTCAGCGTTTCATTCCATGAGAGTGAATAACATCAGATCTCCAGAGATTTCTTAGCTGACCTTCAAAACACAAAGTCTAGCTTCCAGCAAACTTAAAGTAAACACATTTCTCTAGAGATTAGGATCAAAGCATAAGAAAAACATTCTATTTCACTGCGTGGCCCTCGTACCATTACTTATTTATTGGAGCAAAGATAAGTGGTGCTGGGAGAGACGAGATTCATCTTTTTTGTTGCATTTTCTAATGATAAAAGTAGAGTTTAACTCTTCGCAAGAGTTACCCATATTTTTGCCAAAAGGTTTGCAAAAAATCTTCATTCTTTTGCATACTATTGCTGCTTCATGCCCAAACATGGTCTTTTACGATGATTCATGGTCAAACTCTGAAGACTGTCTGAAGAAAAGTTTTGGGCAACTTGAGCATTTTACTAGAGAAGCAGTCCAAAGATACCCTCAGGCTTTGAATCTGTTCTTGGGGGTACTTAAATAAGTTCTCAAGCAACAACTCTCATCTGTAGAACAGGATTAATAGCACTTTGCTCCCATATCCATATAGGAGTTTAGGAGGTTAATTACATTGCAAATTCAGTCGTTCTGAAGTATTACAGTAGTGGGTCTTGTTTGTACACACAGCCTGAGCTTCCTGAACAGACTGACTCCCTGCAGGGAAAAATAGCAATAATCAAGAGAACTGCTTTTTAAAAAAAAAATTACTTGGAATGCAGAGTTTTTGATAACTTAAAAACCTGATTGACATTCATTAGAATGAAAATACAGAGATGTTTCTACAGATATGGGAAGCTATTTGTTGGAGAGCTTTGTGCAACAAAAATGCTGTATAAGTAACAAAACTTTTCATGAATATCCTGTTTGGGTTTTGGTCTCTTTTAGGCTGAGATGAAACTCTGTCAGGAATCAGGTGAACTGATCCAGCAGGGAGGGCATCAGAAAGGTGGTTCACTGGGGGTTAACCTCCGAGGCAGCTCATAACTTTAGTTCCCTCTAAAAAAAATAAATGAAAATCCTCTGAAACCCAGTTTCAAGCCTGTCCTGTGACCTTGACTATGGAGAACAGTTAACCACAAACACTCCTTGATTGTGTCCTTAGACACCAGTTTATACTTCTTCCCCGACAAAGACAAAATGCGCAAAACTTAACCTTGACTTTGGTCATGACTGTGATTGTGCATTAAAGACACTGAGCTCTGCCTGTCTTTATATGTCATGTTCTGTAAATGTACAAGCTGATGGATGTAATTTTCTCATATAAATGGGTTTATTTGTTATACGTACAAATCGCTGTTTGATCTTAAGGAAATGGAAGTCCTGATTCAAGCCCTGTTATATTGTTTTTCCAAGGATATCACATAAAACACATCAGAAATATTTTTAAGAAAGCATGTTTCCCACTGATCTGGGTTCCAGATTATTTTATTTCTTTACTACACCCTGTCTTGGCTGACAGGGTGTAGTAATATTAAGGGCAGTGAGAAATACAATATATCAATTCAACTCAAGATTTTCAATTTACAGGAGCAATGAGTTTTCCAATCAAGTAATTACTTTTGGTCTGAAATTAGCATGACAGCCTCACCTCCTGCCCCCTTTCCACTGTTTTACTACTACACCTCTCAGGACAGATTAATAAATGCCTGACTTTATGCACTGGTGCCAGTGGAAACCTGCAGTAATTGTTTTTTTTCTCACAGCTCAAAAAACCATTTTGGTTTAGAGCTTACCAAAGCAAAAACCCAGAAAAAGATTTTGTGCCTTTTTAAAGCTGAACCATGACTATAAGACAGTCAGTGAGTGCATGAAAACAAAGTATGAGGGTGTAACTCTAGGTGGACTGGATGTAGGCTTTGTCATGGCTGAGAACTGTCTCAGATCTTGTCTTTTGTATGTTCTTCCTTATTCTCAGGCTGTGCATCTGGTTATGAGAAACTAATTCGCACTGTTATTGAAAGTGCAAACATTTCAGCTGCCCAAAGTCACTGACATGTAAATATTTTAGGAGACCTTCCCCAGTCATTTTCAACTCTTCTAAAATTCACGATTGCTGGTGCTGGCTGCAGCTACACCCATTGAGTTTAATGAAGAATGCAACCCAACAAGCCCAGCAGATGTTGTTGGGGTTGCTTCACTGTGAACTTTTTGGTTTCTTCTTCCTTCATTTCCAAGAATCAAGACCCAATTTTAGCAAAGTGATGATGATCCAACCAGCAATAAGAAGACTGAAATAGGTCTTCATCTCCATAATCCTTAAAACATTCACTGTTGCAGATCTATGAGCAGCTGAGGCTTGGATGCTTGTCCAAGCCTCTTTAGCCTGAAAAACTGAAGGGTGGGAAATTCATATAACTGACTCTCAATAGATTTGTGGTATTTCCTGCACTTGTCTGGCAGAGAAATATAAACTATTTCACATTATTTTGGTACTGCCAATGTGGAATTCAATATAGAAATAAAGAAATATGTAAGAAAAAACAATCTTTTCCAATAACAACAAGGAAAACTTTCTTTGAGTTCTGATTTTGTTTGACTTATTATTTAGTTTGTTCTTCTTTATATTTCACCCTTTTGTTCTCCAGGAGTATTTGTGTGACCTTACAAAGCCACAAATATAAGCAGCACAGTTGGGATAATGCAAAAAACTGTCATGTATCCTGGAATCCGTTCCTTCCACTGGGTCAGGTAGATCTGGGGGTATTTTGAAAAGAAAGGAATGAGCAGAAGGACAGGAGTATCAAGAGAAAGTCAGGAGCACACGACAAAGTGCCTGCCTCTTCTCTTTGGCCTTTAAACTCTTCAGTTGGTTTCATTTCTGAATTATTGCTTCTATCTCCATTACCCAATTTCTGGATGAGCCATATCTCAGAATCCAGTATATAATGCTCACAATGCCAGTAGTTTTACGTAGAGGATGTGAAGTTGGCTTCATTTTCAGGTGTCTGACCTGGAACAGTGTTAGAATAAGCTGAAGCAGCCCTCTTGCTCCCCATCATGTAGGTGATACAATTTACAGTATATGTTGTTAAAGGCTACCATTTTATTGTTGAACAAGCCAGCATTAAGAAATCCAGGGCACTGCAAATGACCAGGAAATGCCTGTCTACCTTTCACAGGTAATGCAGCATTACTTAGTATTTGAGCAAGCATTATGCACTGAATTACACGATTTTTCCCTCTTTTGCAGATCACGTGGAGGGCCCCAGCAGGATGAACAGAAGCCACACAGACTGTCATTTCTGCCTGCAGTCTCTCCGTGGCAGGAAATACGCACTAAGAGAAGAAAATGCTTACTGTGTTCCATGTTACGACAGCCTGTACGCCAACCCCTGCGAAGAGTGCAAGCAGCCCATTGAGTGCAACTCCAAGGTAAAGATTTAGCTTGCACTGTTTGTTCCTTGTTAAATTATACACAAATCCAACTTCTTTAATGGTAGATGTAATACCCATCCCTTTGCATATCCCAGTATCACTGAAGAGACCTAAGCATAGCAGTTGTACATCCATACACAGCAGAGTGAAACAGCACTATTTTCCCTGAATAGGAAAGCTCTGGATCAAAGACGAGGAAGTCTGCACATGCATACAGCATGCAGCAGGGCTGTGGAGTATGTGTGGACCTCAGCTGGGCTCCATCCTTCACCTCCAGTCGCTCACTGGCTGCAGAGGCTGCACAGTGCTGGAGGGGGGGTGATTAGGAGGACAGTGTAATTCAGTGTATCAGGCTGATTGACACTTTGGAATTTCTGAGACATGTTCATTGAAAAAATATTTTGAGCATTGAATAAATTACTTTTATTGTAGGTGTTGACAAGCAGATGCCAAGCTGAGAAGACAACATGTTTATAATTTGCATATTCTCTCTCTATCTCTCTTTTGGAAATTAAGGGGTTTTTTTAATTTCTGCTTAATTCCATGCTTACCTTGCTTATCTCACAGATGGTGTATTAGTGACAGTGCTTCTGACCTTGTCTTTCCTTTCACCTCTCCATTTTTTACAACATTAATTAATAATTCAAGTTCCTCTGTGGTCTTTGACAGACTTTCTAGTGCCCCATATTGCAATTTAGAGGATGTATACTTGACATTGAATTTCAAGGTCAAATGAAACCTATCAAAAAGCATTTATTTTGCTAAGTCCAGTGTGTACTGGTCATCTTCTCCCATGCTCTCTTTGCCTATGTTCCTTAGAAAGAAAATAACAGAAAAATATTAAAATAAACCTCTTGGGAGGCTTTCCCAGCCCAAGCACTTCAAGGCACATAGTCTGCATACAGGAATCATCCAAGGAAAATGTTGATTTGGACGAAGACACTCTTCAAAGTCTCATCAGCATTTCACCCACAGCAATATTGAACACATAGCACCCATCAGATTAACCAGGAGACCACACACTTTGAGTTCACTTAATTTCACCTTTAAAATCAAAAATTAAATCAGTGACAGAATTACTATTGTTGAAGATCATAAACAAAAAGCCGTGTCTTTGGACTGAGCGGAAGGAAAAAATGCGAGAAAAAAGCAGATATGGTAAGAAAGGAGGGCATCTGGCTAGAGACATCTAGAAAAGTGACACACAGAGATCTACAGCTGATTGCCTCACCTCTGCCAAGGGGCTAGAGCTTGGTTTTCTTCCTCTCCTCCTCACTCAGTCTTTGCCTCAGGCTGCTCTGGGCTGACAGCCCAGTTCCTGCAAAGTTCAGAGTGCTAATTAAAGCAAATCAAAGTGCTAGGTGCTCAGCACCTCCTGAAACGAAGCATGGTAGTTCTTTTATTTTTATCTCTTTAAAAGACAGGGACATGATCAAGGAGAACAATGAGATTGGACATGTACCCTTTTATGTTTCTTATTTATAAAAGAGACCTGGAAGGGTTTCTTTTTTAAGCTGGGAAGGTTTTTTTGAGGTGTATTTTTCTCTTGCTTTTCTAACTGTGGGAAAATTAAATCTGCTGTTTGGTCTTTTTTTGAATTCTTAGTCAGGATCTCATACAGATATTGTTACTCTTTCATATACATATGTTGTTAGCTCTTTCATCCCTTAAGCCCACTGACTCTTAAACATTTTTCTGTCAAGTTTTCAGGAGGATTTATATCAGATGTAAACAAAAGCAATGATTTTTTTAAATTTTACTAACAATCATTTTGTTCTCAATGAGATTTTAATTGCTTGTTTTCTGTCAACTATTAGAATTATGTCATGTCAGATGGAAGAAGAAGTAGTAACATTGAAAATACATAAGGTTCATTTCAGATTGTATAGAATCTTCTCAGATTGAGAGATTATATAGATTGTATAGAGTCTGTTTCTTCTCCAGTGGTCTGTTGATCACTAAAAATGATCTAAAAATGTTGATCACTTATTTCCCCTTGAAAAACAAGTGTAATATATAACATGATTCTTCCAACAAAAACATACCTCTCTGTTACATAGGGAAGGACATTCTGCCAAAGCAGCTCCTAATGGCCTCTGAAAGAGATCTACACAACACTGTGACGTTGAGTACCTACACCTTTCCTGAGCACACTTCTGGTTGGATCCACCACTGCAATGCTCTTCCTTGTTTTTTTCAGTTCTGGAAGAAACTGAAGGATAAAAGCACTGTAAATAAATGTTTTCATTAACATGAACTTACTTTCTCCAAGGATTTGGCCTACAAAGGCCGCCACTGGCATGAGGGGTGCTTCAGGTGTGCCAAGTGCAGTCGCTCACTTGTGGAGAAACCATTTGCTGCCAAGGACGAAGTATTGCTGTGCACTGAGTGCTACTCTGATGAGTATTCATCCAAGTGTTTTCACTGCCAGAGGACCATTATGCCTGGTAAGACAACAGGGGCCTTTTGTTGAGAAATGGAACCACATTTTTAATGATAACTACCTCTTGGAATAACCAAGCTACAGGGTCCTTGACTTTCAGAACAGCTTGGAGGTGACTATTCTTCCTTTGTGTGTAGCATTCTCCCAGGAGTAAGGAGAAGGCAGGCAGACACTTCAGATCTATCACTGACAGGTCTTATGAATCCTTATAAAAATATAAAGAGTTCAATAGAGTGTACATTTGTGTTCATGTGGTGTCCTTGATTCCGTTGCAGTTCTTAGGAAGCATATCCCGCTGTGAGAATAGGCAGACAAACTCAGCTATTGTCAGCAGAAGTGCCACATTAGACAAGTCATCTGCAAGTTTTCCACATTGACCAGACCCTGTGCTTGTGTTCTTTATACTAGTGCTTTCACTCAGAAATAATTTTTGTTTAAATTGTCAAAACATGACAATTTGCTTTCAAATCATTAGCAGCATTTTTCCTAAAATGAATAAAAGTCAATTTTACAATATTATCCTTGTTTACAATAGGCTTACTTCCTGCAATTAGGAATGTTGAAGATTCTGCACTTTCCATTAAGTTGCTTCTCAGCTTTTGATTGTGTCTGTTCAGGACACGCTCTTTTCATTGTCACCACACCAGTAAAGCCCATACAGCAGAGTGTTTACTGCCTCTTCACAGGCATCTGAAAGAAGCCACGGCACCATTTGTTGCAAAAGGAAGCTGCTTGCTTAGGAAAGTGTGTCCCTAACTTTTGGAACATCAGTAAATTTGGTAGTGACATTAGAATTTTATTTTTCAGTATATCTTAATGCCAAACAGTAAAATCCAGGCTGTGCAAAATTATAGTCTTACTATTGGCACTAGATTACTCAAGTTGTATTCAGCCTGTAACACTAGCTTGTATTTTTACAGTTTGTTTCCTTTTCATTACAAGCAAAATCTGCATTAGTGGAAGCAAATATTGTAACAATATAGTTGTGTTTATTTTAAGGATTTCTTAAAAATTTTATATCGTTTACAAAAATGTTGTCAAATAGGCACACCTCACTAGATGTGATCAAAAAAGTGCCAGAATACACTGATACTGTTTGCATCATTATCTTCTGGTGTATATCCATGCTGCTTGTTTTGTCACAGAGTCTAAATTCTTGCAGCAAATGGCCAAAGGTGTGAGAAACAGTGCAGCAGTGGCATGGGAATGCCAGCCAGTCTCTATATCATTCACTTCTTTCTCACCAACTTGCTAGCTCTGTGTTGAAAAGAACTAGTTGTGAAATTTGCCTTATGATCACTGGGATGAAGCTGCAAATTTTTCTGTCCGAATACAACCAGTAGTTTCTCCACTGGCCCCACAGTTCAGAAAACAGATACAGTGGGATTAATCAGATATAGCAGAAATCCTCTTCTTCATGTGGAAAGGATGGTAAAGCACCTTGCACCTCTCTGTGCAGTCTTACGCTACCTACAGATAGGAAGTTGAGGATGGAGATCCACTGGAAAAATTGCTCCCAGATATATGTGCATATCTTAGACTTATGTTTCTTTATCAAGATAAGACACCTGTACACAGAGATAAAAGCTCTGAGACTCCTCTGACAAACATTTAACTGAGCAACTTTCTGTCCTTGTGCTGTATCAAAAGCATCTAGTGAAACATGATAAAAAGAATTGTTGGTCTAGGACAGAAATGGTGAGCTATAGGAGAAGGCAGTGTAATGTGCTGTATCAGAGAAAAAATATTTATTTTTAGAAAGTTGCCAATTTGAGATAAGATTAAGATAAATAATGCATTTATAAGTGAAGGAGCCTTAGTTTAAGAAAGATACAAGACAGGCCAATAATAAATGTACTAAGCATCCAACAAACTAGTTTCTAATTTATAAAATTGCTGTGTACCTGAACATTATCACTGAGTTGGCTGGTTTGAGAGAAACTGAGCAATTCAAGCATAACCACAAAGAAGAAACCCTGAAAAATTCATATAAGACAAACTAAAAATCACAGCTTCGGCAATTCAGCACATCTTTTGCCAGATGAATATATGGCACTGAATGTGTTCTTGAAATTTCAAGAGCTTTCTTAAAAGCTCTGGATAACTGCTTTCTTGGGTAATCCAATGCTGATGTAGACAGTTCAAGACAAGACCATTCCCAACATCTAAAACTTGTATTACAAGGCTATATCTGAGAGGATTGTTCACTTTGGTTTTTTTCAGGTTCACGTAAAATGGAATTTAAGGGAAGTTGCTGGCATGAATCCTGTTTCGTTTGCCAGTATTGTCGGCAACCATTGGGAACCAAACCATTAATCACAAAAGACAATGAGAATTACTGTGTGCCCTGTTTTGAGAAGCAATTTGCTCACCATTGCTATGCTTGCAAAAAGGTAATTAAACACACAATACAAAAAAACGCCCTAGTGAGGCAATATTGCTCATGGAAGAAAGGGATGGATCGTGTGAAACATGTGGTGAACTAAGAGTAAAATCAGAGTCTTCCCATTGACACTGGACACTGAAAGGCAACTATGACAGTGCCTGCTGTCCACTCTTGTGGACAAGACTAATTGACTAATCAGACTAATCTAAGACTGATTATATCCGAAATAATCTTATTTGCCAAAACCAATGTTTTGGGCTTCTTTAGTTATTGGTTGTGATTTTTAGAAAAATTTAAATGGAAAGTTATATAAAACCCTTCTTTCCTGAAAATCTCTGACTTTGTCTTTGTAAACATGCCTCTTTCCATAATTTTTCAGATGTATTCGTATGTATAATTAGCCACCTGAACTGAGCAAATCATCCACAATCTTGGCTATTTTTTCTTGAAATTTATCAGGCAATTAGCAGATCAATTAACTTGCAATTGTGATAATACTGTTCAGGATTCCCACTGATCACTGATGCAATGTGTAATGATACCCTTGTGGGTACCAGAAATCTTGATTTGATTTCTTTTTCCCCCAAGTACAGATAAATCATATCTTCCCTCTCTTGACTTCTCATCTCTTGTTCATGAAAATACTCAAAGCATCATACTATATTAGTGTGATACTTTTCTCTAGGGAAATGTTTGAAGCTGTTTTTAAGGCCAGAATTTTACTTATTGTTTAGTACCTGCATCACTCTGGAAGCTTTTTTTTTTTCCACTCATCAAATAACTTATAATTTCCTGTAGTTATGTAATGATTACCTGTAAACCTCTACCTCTAACAAAAGCTTTTAATTTCAGGAAAATATGCTGTCTACTTTTTTCTTCAGTAACTAAACTTTAGAAAGTGCTTTTATATATTCCCAAGACTCTACATCTAGCCTTTAACTTGCATTAAATGAACACATGGCAATTATAGTAATTATGCTCAATGTTTATTACAGGCATTGATTTTAACACCACCTACATGAAATAATCAGGATTTTCTTCTTAAAAATTCTAGGAATGTAAATAGTCCCCCTACATAATAGCTGAAACTCACATCAATTCCCATACCTGATAATTGAGCCCAAATAAATTAAATTGCCAAACTGAATCTTGAATTTTTGTCAGTAATTTTTAGATTTTAATGGAAAAGCAAATGTAACCACAAAATAGCCCAAAACTGGAATGTTAAAGGGATTGGAAACTATTTCAATCTCTTTATTGCTTGACATGACCCCATATTATTCTTGATTTACCTGAAACTGTATTCCCCAGGGAAATTTGATGATATCACTATTTTTACTTAACTTTCTTCAACTTTTTCTCCTCCTGTTCCAACATTATTCATTCATTCATTCATTCATTCATTCATTCACTCATTAATTCGCTGTCATGCATGTGACTTGATAGTAGAAACACTGTCTTACAGCTCATCTTTATAGAAATTTCTCTGTACAGCCTCTCACAAATTCTGTGAAAGCAGCTCTTTACCACACATATAGGAGCCACATAACAACTGGAAATTTCCCTCTTCAGAAGTAACCAGTGCAGAGCTGTGAGTGTATTGCTGGCAAACAGAAGTAGATGACACTGATAAACATGATTTTTTTTTCTTCTTCTGATTGTGTAGACCTCCATTCTGTTTTACTTCTGTTTCTTTGCTGTCCTTCTTCCTGTTTAAAATACTGCTGCACTTGAGAGACAGCAAAATCCTGGTTGGAGATTAACAATTATCTCAGCATCAGTTCTCTCACCCACTGCCTGTCACTGAGAATTTATCTTCTGAGAGCACGCTTGATTCTAAACACTTATCTACAGTACAATAGAAAATTTCATTTAAAGATAACATATTTATTACAAATTATGAGGTTATACTGTGGTAGAAAATTGAAAATAACAAACCAGTAGCATATAGAATTCAACTGCAGATTAGTTAAATGGATAATCCAGATGAAAAAAAGTTGATGTGACGACCCTCTCTTCTCTTGTGCATGTTGGAAGAGAGAAAACAAGTGGAAGTACTTATGAAGGATTGGACAATCCTTCATGATTCACACCTTTGTTTCTTTGTTCTGCCTTTGTTTGTCAATACATTAGGTTATAACTTCTGGAGGAGTGGCCTACCACGACCAGCCTTGGCATGAAGAATGCTTTGTGTGTGCTGTGTGCAAAACTCAGCTGTCTAGGCAAAGATTCATTTCCAAAGATGAGTACCCATACTGTGTAGACTGTTTCAGCAAATTTCATGCCAAGAAGTGTGCTGCTTGCAAGAAACCTATTGCAGGTGAGTCTTGTCTTCTAGAGGGGACCAGACAGAAATGAATCATCAGTCACCTCTCAAAGACTTTCACTTTAGGAAAAAAAAACCTTAAAATTACTCCTATCATAATGAAAGACTGAAGGAGTTAACTATCATAGAGACTCTCTCTGTGTCACATGTCCTGTATCTTCCTAGGACATACTGATCACACATGTTCTCTAACAGATGAGGAGTGGTTTTATGTGCCCAAAGGCATTGTTTGATGTAGTATTTTCTGTAGAAAATTCCTCCTTAAGAATATTTCAAAAGGTGCTTTTTTTTGCTCTTCCCAGGACAGTACACACAAGCCCCTCTGTGATTTCTTCACAGTTTAATTTTTAAATGCAAATGTGATCAAGCTGAACACAGATTAACTGCCTGCTGGTAAGGCACACGCGTCAAATTAGAAAGCTTGCCAAATGCAGCAATTTCTTGAATTATTGTATACTTATATATGATTTATAATTAGACATGTATGTCACTGGTCTATGATAGCTGGAGTTTTCTGAGAACATTTGCTGGTGTTCTGCACTTTAATCCTATTATGTGTGGAGTCAGCTGTTGAAAAGTACTTCCTGATTCTTAGGTGGATGCTGCATATGCCATTGGACAAAGAAATCAATGAATACCCAATCACATGTGCATGATTTAAAAAATACCCAAACTACAAAACAACAACCCCATCAAAACTATTAAAATTCCCTCAATCTTCAAGATTTTATTTCAGATAATTCTGCTAGGAATATCATTATCTGGTAATTTCCAAAAGAATCCATCTTGAAGAAACTTAATTATTAAATTTCATTCAGAGTTCTATAGAAACTATACAAATATTGCAAATAACTTCCATGAGAGCTTGTTGGGAAGATCAGCAAACCTGAATGGACATTCTGATAAACCCATTGTGTTCAGATCTCATAATGGGACATGCAAGCGACTTGTGGCTTTGCTTTAAATATTACCCACTGTTTAAATTTTAAAGATACTTTTCAATTCAGCCAATGAAGAATATTTCACATTATGGATTTTTTCCTTCATTTTTCCATTCGCTGTATGAATGACAGACAACCTGAACATACATCAGAAAGTCATCTGTTGCATTACTGAACCAGGTCCAGAAATACTGGATTCAAATCTTCTCTTTTTTCTTTTTTTTCATACTCTCTTTCAGCTCTCGGAGGTGCCAAATACATCTCATTTGAGGAACGTCAGTGGCATGGGGAATGCTTTAGCTGTGCAAAATGCTCTGTTTCCCTGGTGGGCAAGGAATTCCTCACTCGGCAGGATGACATCCTCTGCCACAGATGCGGCTCTGCTTCATAGTCTGTGGAAAGCTCTACAGCTGCAGTATTCTCACTCTGTAGCAAGGTAGTTCATTGGTCTACTGTAAGAAAACCAGATAAAAGGTACTACAGTTATTTTGTCATTCAAGTAACTTTCCAACAGCAGTTTAACGTCGTAATTCTCAACTGCTTATAAACAAAAACTAATCAGCTGCCCCATATTGGTTAATAAAACAATGCAGAAAAGATTTGTATATATTTTAAGCCTAACTGCAGTATGTTTTCCTTGTAACATACTGCACTCTGCTGTTAGAAGCTTAAAAATTTATCTTTTATCACCTCTGAACTAAGAAGGATTGTGAAACGTTTGTTTGGCATATGAATAATGATGAAGCATTAGCACTGATTCACAGATGCAGATTTTGGCATGGAAAGCTGGGAACAAGCATTTTTCTCTTCAATCATAACATTGAAGTGAGCACCTTGTAAATATTATATTCTTCCATACTTTGGGCAAAAAAGATGCTGACAAAGCAGGCAGAAATTGTGAGTAGGAGATGCTTCCACATTGAGGAGCACAGAAAGGCCCATTCCAAGGGCCAATTCAACCGGCAAAAAGGTCACTTACCTTCCCTTACTGGGATTGCTACCCAAAGAAGTCACCCTAAATACTACAGCACAGCACGGATCCTTTCCCAAATTTGGGTGACTGTACTTAATTTTTTAGGCGTAGCTGCTCTAGAACATAAATAAACCCTAAACCCTATTTACGTTCTAGTTGCTCTAGAACACAAATATTTTCAGCTACTGCAAGAGGTAAGGAATGCCCAAGATTGAATAGTGCTGATGTACATTTTCCCATAACTAATATGCCTTAAGACACTGTTTTTGCTATGCCTTCAAATATAGGTCCAAAACATACTTTCTTTATTAGTTGACTCAAGAGCCAACTCATAGTGTTCCATTTAACCTTGTCCTTTCCTTCATTAAATATTGCTTTGCCAGCAATTGAAGCCCTGTTATGTGCTTGGTCTTTGATTCACAGTTCACTCCTCTGCTTGTGGACAGCAGGCTATCAACTGAACCAATTCCTGATTCATTTCACCATTAGCCACATGTGTTTTTTAACAGTATGTCAAGAATTAGTAATTGTCATTGCAAGCCAGACAGCTCTTTCTTGCAGCACAGGGCCTCAGTTTCTAAGTAGCCAGCCTTTATATCTGCTTGCTGAGCTCCAGCACTCAAATGTCTACTCTGAAAGGTCACCTAGAGCTGAGTCACAAACATATGTCTGCCTCCTTCTTCCACAGTGAGTGTTGCAGTGGCCTGGTTCCTGTGCTGGGCCATTGTGGATGGAGCAGTGGTGTTAGGAATGGCAGGCTCTGCACTGTCCAGCAGAGTTTGAGTCTCATCTCGGATGTCTTTAAGTCATTTTTCTTCAGACTCTGACCTTGAGAGCATAGGGTTATGTGGTTGGCTTGAGTGGCCTTTATTCATATTGAAGACAGCCATTATTTTAGGAAGAAAAGTGGAAAAAAAGGAAGAATATGTGTACATTGCTAAGCTAGAGCCAAGTGCAGTGGCATAAAATCAATATAGGTAATGATTGACCAATGAGTACATAGCAGTGTGTTGTCAGTCAATAAAATATTGATCTTTTGCTCTATGTGGTGTTAATTTTTGGTTTTCATTTTCTTCTTTCATCACAGCTTTTATTGCAGTCTAGAGTTTGATTAGTTTATGTTTTTCATTTTATCCCAGCTGCTTCCTTTTCTATTTACACATCTCCCATGACTGACACAGGTTCTTGGTAAGGCTTAGATTCTCATAAATAGAAATGTGCTTCATTGCCTTATATGTATAAATATGTATCTATATATACACACACAAAACATGGTGGTTCACAGTTATTTATGATGTTCTAAAAATTTGCACTGAAATATCAGAAATTAGTAAATGCTAATAGTCTTAAAATTTTAAATTAAAATGATGAATCACAATATTCGGGCTTGTCTGTGGGGTGTACCTTTTGTTTGTTTGTGTGAAATTACATTCAGCACATCTCAAGAAAGCGGTTTGCGCCCTTTATTCAGTCTCCTCTGAAGAATCATACATCTTAATTACAAATTGATGCAGGAATTACCAGGCAGCCTCCTAAGACATGAGAGAGTCACAGGTCAGACACACTGATCATGATAATCCCAGTCTTCCAGCCTTAACATTTATGAAAATTAAATTCTTCTCTGACTCATCAACTAATCATATTTTTAGAAATACCAACTGAATTATGTATTTCTTCTGCAGTAAATACAGTACGGTCAAACCTGACACTGAGCATTTTCACTTTAGAAAAATAGTAGTAGGAAATAAATGTGATTGCTATAAATAGTCTGAATAAAAGTTATATCAGATACAAATTGCTATTTCTTAGTCTCTGTCACCAGCTACTTGGTGCCTGAGTATAAGTACATATATGAGTATAAATATGAGTATATGTGAGTATGAATGCCTGAATATAAGTACAGTGGTAGTCTGGTGGTGGGCTGACCCCGGCTGGACACCTGATGCCCACAAAAGCCCTTCTATCACTCCCCTCTGCAACTGGACAGGGGAGAAGAAACACTCCTCAAGGCTCGTGGGTGTAGATAAGGAGAGAGAGAGAGACATCTCTCAGCAATTACTGTGACAGCAAAACAGTCTTGACTTAGGTAAAAAAAAATATTACCAGTCAAATCAGAGTGAATAATTAGAAATAAAACAACATTTCAGAAACACCTTTTCCCCACCCCTCCTTTCTTTTCAGGCTTAACTTGGCTCCTGAATTCTCTATCTGCTTCTCCCCAGTGATGCAGGGGGACAGGAAATGGGGTCTCAGGTCAGTTCATCACACATTGTCTCTGTTGTCCCTTCCTCCTCAGCAGGAGAACTCCTCACACTCTTTCCCTGCTGCAGCATGGGGTCTCTCCCACAGCAGACAGTCCTCCATGAACTGCTCCAATCGGAGTGCCTCCCACAGGCTACAGTTCTTCAAACACTGCTCTTGTGTGGGATCCCTCACATGGAGTGCATCCCTTCAGGAAGAGGCTGCTCCAGTGGGTCTCCCTTGGGGTTGTAAGTCCTGCCAGAAAACTTGCTCCAGTGTGGGCTCCTTTTTCCAGAGGTCTACCAGCCTTGCCAGGAGCCTGCTCCAGCAGGTCACAGTCTCCTTCAGGCACCATGTCTCTGGCATGGGATTCTCCAGGGGCAGAAAGCAGATACCAGCTCCACCATGGACCTCCATGTGTTGCAGGGGAATCTGCTCTGACACCCAGAGCACCTCCTCCCCCTCCATCTTCAATGACCTTGGTGTCTGCAGAGCTGTTTCTCCCACACATTCTCACTCTTCTCTTTGGCTGCTGTTTTCACAGCCATTCTCCTTCCTCCCCTCCCCACCCTTTTCCAATCTGTTATCCCAGAGGCTCTACCACCATCCCTGGTGGACTCAGCTGTGGCCAGCAGTGGGTCCATCCTGCAGCCAGCTGGCATTGGCTCTGTCAGGCACGGGGGAAGCTTCCAGCAGCTTCTCACACAAGGCCCTCCTGGAGCCCCTTGCTACCAAAACCTGCTCACACAAGCCCAAGGGAACTCTGCACAGTTTGGGTTTTTTATACTTTATGTAGATGAAACCTACTTGAATAGGTGCAGAGAAGGGCAGCGGGAGGAGCAGTGTGTCTCTGTGGAGGACTGCAGGTCATGAAGGGGATAGGTGGCTACTCTAAGTGAAGAGACTACGTTTGGTTCAAGAACAACAACAATTAAACTCCTCAGCACAGGAAACTGGAAATTAGAAGGTGATGTCTGCTGCTTTCCAGAACAAAGAGGGACACAGCCATGTGGGCAGTTTTGAAGTGATGCCTGATCGGTGTGTTAAATATATTATAGAACATGATTGCCTGGTATAGAAAAATAATGAGAAAAAATCAACCTGATGATCAACTTCAGTCTGTGTTGCTAACATTAGATTTATTGCAGGAAAACCAGGATGCAGACTTCAGCACAATTCAATTTTCTTTAATAAACTTTGAAGGATAGAAAATTTGAGAGATTTATTTTATAGTAAATTTTTAAATGTCATATGTCTTTCTTTAACATTGTACTGTTTAATTTTAAAATATATATAGATTTTCCCTGTGTATGTAGCAGCCCAGCTCTAAGATAATTGCATTGCTTTTTTTACAATCAAGCTAAATTACCCTGAGGTGATGTCTCTAGTGTCCTGATCACATCTCTGCGGTACTCATAGTTATCCCAGGGGACCAGGAGGGAGGCTGCCTTTTGGGATTAACTAAGAATGAATAGCTGTCCTATTATCTCCCTCAATATTTCAGGCTAAAGTTTAAGTTTCTCAACCATTGTCTGATTGTCAGAGAACTTCCTGAGACAAATGTGCTTAAAATACAGAGAGAAGCCCTGAGGCATTGTTATCTCGTGACCCTTCTCTGTCCATATTTCTGAATGTCACATTTTTCACTCTGAAGCAAGGTCATATTATGAGAACAAGGTATCAGCCTTTTCCCGGACAACTACTTTTAAAATCCAGACAAGTTTTGGTAGATGTTGTGGCAGGCAACACAGAGCTGTAGTAATGTTGGAACCCAGGACCACTTCTGCAAACAAAGGCATGAACTCCAGAATCATAGCTTATGTCTGTGATGAAACCCAGACATTTTTCATGCTCTAACCTTGTGCCCTAGTTCTCCAGAGAACTAGGGTGGGTCTAGACTGGGGAAGAGCTAGGATATAGCCTGGCCATGTCAGTGAAGTGGATGTCACACAGGTTCTCTGCAGTATCTCAGGCCATGCAAGTTCAGCTGGTCCTTGTACTCTGCCAGTGGACAGGTACCAGGTTTTCTTCATGTTGACCGTGGCTCAGTGCTAGCAGAGCAGTTTTATGAAGAGGATGATGAGGTTTTGCAGGGAATTCTAAACTTGTGGTTTCAAACCCTTCCCAGGCCAGGCCTGTCACAAGAAGGGCTGATGGGGGGGGGGGGTGTCTGTGAGTGTGTAAATGCTCAACCCTAAAGAATTGACCAGCAACTTCAGCACCTGCTCCAAGTGAGATTTATGAATCTCACTTGATTCCATAGAATGGGCATAAAGCACTATTTTAGGAAGTAAAAATAGTGATTTTTATACAATGACAGATAACAATAGGTGAAGGAAAGTAATGCTAAATGACTGCCTAAGTGGAAACTGAGAGATCATTTCTGTAAACAAAAAAGTTGGATGAAATCCAAAAGTATAGCCAGAACAAACTTGTTTACCAATCAAGCAGGAGAACTGCAATAAATCCTCTACATTCTTGTTAATAATATCTCAAAGAAAACATGTGTATGTGCATTGATGCTTGTTCACCCTGGAACTGCCAAAGCTTGAATGGACTGACTCATGGGAAACTTGGCAATTTAAACCAAAGTACAAAATTCCTGGCATGGCTATAGACTACTATAACCACAACGTTTCAGTTCATCGTATTCAAAAGTACCATTATCTTGATCAGAAGTACCAGGTACAAGTAGTTCAATACAAGAGAGAAAAGTACCAGGTATGAGTTCTTCAATACAAGAGATAAGTGATTTGAAGGACAGACATGTTTGCACTCAGGGACATCATACTGGTATGTTATCCAAATGGCAATACACAACTGCAGTGGAGGATCTAGAGAGATCAGCTTTGGCCAGGATCACTAGGCTTTGCTTAGTTTGTTTGCAAGAATATTTGTCCAATAGCATCCACTTAAACATTTATATAGGCTTTCATCTGCATTTTTCAGCCAAATTCTTACTGGAGATTCTTGAAGATGAGGCCAGACACAAGCACAGTGACACAGACCTGCACAATGCCCATAAGAACCTAGATTTTCTCAGTGTAAACCAATTCCATGTCAGAAGAACCATTGCACAACATTATATCCAAGCTAATAAATCTTATCTCTGTCTTGAATGTAATTCAATATCTGGTTTTATTAACTTGAGCCCCTGCTGTACATCTTTTACTGTCCTCTCCAGTAAGATATTCAAGACTGTAGGCACTGACCTAATTCACTGCAGATTTTTCACAGCACCAACTGAATTCTAAGTTATTGAATACAAGAAGCTGCACTACCACCACATCCCTGAAAAACAGGAGCCATGAATCCCTTTCATGCATGATGTGTGTGGGGCTTTGAGAACAAATCACATTAAAACAAACAAAAAACCTCACTCAGCTCCTTTCTGTAGCCTGGGCACAGATACAAAGGCACAAAAATACTCAGATAAGATCACTTTTAGAGCAAGCAAAGGAGCATGGCCTCAGATGTTTCAAGAACAGTCAGGCAGAAGGTTACCTAGCAAAATCAGGAAACAACTGAGCAAGTTTTTTGGGATTGAGATGTTTCACTCCAGTGTCTCTGTCCTCTCTCAAGTCACTTCTTAGCTCACATCCAGCACCTCATGTCCTAACTGCCTAAAGGGCATTCTCATCATTTTCACTTGTGACCATGAGAGCAGACCACTGCAGCAACAGGATCTCAGTCTGGCACAATGACTCAGCCTCAGGAATCTCATGGGTGACTCATTCAATAGAGGATAGGCCCAGCTGGAGGTAAAAAAAGTCCCACCAGCCTCAGATAATTGCTCACATTTAAATACCAGTGCTCATCTTAATAATGTTTTCATAACAAAGACGTACTTCAGGTAGATATTTCCAAATTGTTCCTGGATGAAAGCCCTCATTTAACATCTTCATTTTCACCTTGGATTTTGGAATAGCTTTTGCTAGACTTAGTATCAAATAAATAAATAAATAAATAAATAAATAAAATATCTTCCAGCCAAGCCCAACTTGCCTGGATTAAAAAAACTACAGTGTAAATTAATACAAATAGTTTATCCAGTTCTGCTGAGTTGCATTTTTTGTTGTTGTTTCCCAAAGGAAAAAAAAAAGAAAAAATACTACTTATTTCTTGAGAA